GTCCAGTCCCCTACCCTCATGGCAGGACCAAATACTGTCTAGACCATCCCTGATAGACATTTATCTAACCTACTCTTTATATATCACCAGAGATGGAGATTCCACAACCTCCCTGGGCAATTTATTCCAGTGTTTGACCACCCTGACAGTTAGGAACTTTTTCCTAATGTCCAACCTAAACCTCCCTTGCTGCAGTTTAAGCCCATTGCTTCTTGTTCTATCCCCAGAGGCCAAGATGAACAAGTTTTCTTCCTCCTCCTTATGACACCCTTTTAGATAGCTGAAAACTGCTATCATGTCCCCCCTCAATCTTCTCTTTTCTAAACTAAACAAACCCAATTCGTTCAGCCTTCCCTCATAGGTCATGTTCTCTAGACCTTTAATCATTCTCGTTGCTCTTCTCTGGATCCTCTCCAATTTCTCCACATCTTTCTTGGAATGCGGTGCCTAGAACTGGACACAATACTCCAACTCTATGCTTGTGAAGGAAGGTGCTCCACAGTGGGATTAAAGGCATCAAAATCTGTCACAAACCTGATGTATCATATATGGTATATCCAGTAGAGATTAAATTATTCCCATTATACAGGGCACTAAGACCTCATTGGAAATGCTCTGTGCAACATGTTTGAGAGATGAATTCAAACTGGAACCAGTGCTGAGAAGTTCTAAAGGATGATCAGCCTAGAGAGAACCAACTTAAGAGAGGAGACTTAAGGACTTTGGCTTGTTTAGCCTAACTAAACAAATGCTATGGGTAGATGATTGCTCTCTGGGTACGTCTACACTTCCTCCCTAGTTCAGACTAGGGATGCAAATGTAGGCGATTGAAATTGCTAATGAAGTGGGGATTTAAATATCCTGTGCTTCATTAGCATGATCTCGCTGGCATGTTACTCCACTCAACAGCTGATTCAAAAGTGAAAGTGCATGCCAGGATGTGTTGGTTCAAACCAAACGCCTTGGTTCGAACTAACATTACTCCTCAAAAAATTTTAAATATTTAAATCCCCGCTTCATTAGCAATTTCGGTTGCCTACATTTGCATCCCTAGTTCGAACTAGGGAGCAAGTGTAGACGTACCCTCTGTAAAAACATCAGAGGGATAAGCATCAGGGAAGAAGTTACTTAGGAATCACTGTTGGCACAAAGAGTGTGAATGTGTACACGGTTAACCCTATGAGCCTGAGCTCATCGATTAACGTGCATGGTTACATGCAGTCCCCTACCCCGCACTTCTGCCTCTGAATCAGAGGCAGCAGCATGGGCAGGGGGAAAAGGCAGACTCCCCACGCATACTGTCTCCTGCAGAGCTGCCTTTCCTCCCCCCCCCCCCAAACCCTGCTGCCTCTGATACACATTTACCTAAACAAACACATTTTAACATCCCTAATTGGTACCTAGCCAGTTTATGACCATTTGTTTATGTATGAATTAGAGCAGAGTAGGCAAGATACTTCTTGTGAGCTGCATCTGGCCCACAACCAGCCTGCCAGGACCCTCAGTCACGCAGCAGCCATGTGGCTACCTGCTCTGGACAGAGGGGGAGGCTTCATGTGATCTCTCCATCCCCAGCTCAATTCTCAGCTCCTATTGGCCGGAACCAATTGACCAGTAGGAACTGATCCCAGCCAATCTCTTAGTTCCTATTGGCCCAAAACAACCAGTCAATAGGAGCTGAGCCTTTCCTCACACCCAGAGTTGAGAGCCATATGGAAGGAGCTGCCTGCTGTTTTATGCAATCTGGGGCCATAGCAGGCAGAGCCCCATCCGCATTTGGGTGCTGCAGGGTTGCTGACCAGGAGATGTTTAGGTAAGCACCTCCCAGCCAAACCCTGCCTCGGGCACCCCTGCCCCTCCCACAGCCTAACTCCCTCCCCCAAGGTCACCATCCAAACCCTCTGCATCCTCCTATTCCAAGTCAAAATTCACTCCCAGACCGTATACCCTTTCCTACACCCTTCCTCCAGGCCAGAGTCCTCTCCTGCACCCATATACCCCCTCTCAGACCCTGCACCCCAATCCCCTGCCCCAGGTCACAACCCCCTCCTTCACTCAAAAGCCCTCTTAGATCTCACACTGTCTCCTGAGCTCCAGTCCCTTATCCTGTGTGCCCTTCTGCACCCAACTTCCATCCTAGACCCCACACCTCCTTCACAAAAAGTGTGGCCCTTGACCACTTTTCAAAATCTTGGAGTGGCCCCTCACCAAATGTTAGAGGAAGTTAGAGTGGCCCATCCCAGAGTTAGAGGAAGGTTTCTAAGTGTCGGAGGAGTTGAAGTTCTGAAACAGTATCCCCAGAGACACAATGGGTGCCAAAAACTAACTGTTTTCAAGACTGGGTTTGAAACATTTATGGAAAGGATGGTATGAAGAGACTGCTTACAATAGCATGTGGCCCATCAGCAGCGGCTGGAAACAAGTATTTCCAGTGGCCAGGGATGGGACACTAGATGACAAAGAGTTCTGAGTTACTATCATGAATTCTTTACTAGGTGTCTGGATGATGAGGCTCACCTATATGCTCAGCGTGTAACTGGTTGCAGTCAGGAAGCAATTTTCCTCCAGATCAGATTGGCAAAGATCCTCAAAGAGGGATTGGCTCTCCTCTGCAGCTAGTGTGAACTACAGTACATGGCAGATTCTGTGTACCTGGAAGTCTTTAAGTCAAGATTTGAGTACTTCAGTAACTCAGCCAGAGGTTATGGGTTTGTTACAGGAGTTTCTGTGGCCTGTGATATGCAGGAGGTCAGACTAGATGATCACAAACATTCCTTCAGGCCTTTAGGTCTGAGTGTAATAACTTAATATTCTTCTTCAAGGAGTGTCCCCCTGGATGCTCCACCTTCAGTGCATCAGCGCCGCTGCGCTCTTGATTGGAGATAGTACCCTGTGGCCAGCTGTGCGTGCAGAGCACCGGCATGTGCAATCTGGAGTGGCTACTGCACATACGCAGCCGGCCACCTCCTCAGTTCCTTCTTAACTACCATTCCACTAAAAACCTCTCCTCTCTGTGATATGCCTGTCTTGCCCCATTTTAAAAAGTGTACTTACCCATCTTCTTCCCATATACTTACCCATCTTCTTCCCAAAGCCGCATAAGGACAACAGAGGAAACACTCCATACCTTGGATGTCTGCAGAGCATTAGCTTTTTACTTACAGCACACAAATCACTTTCACAAAACACCACGACTGTTTGTTTAATCCGCGGAGAGGTCACAAGGATTACCCATATCAAAAGAAAGAATGTCAAAATGGTTATCTAGCGGCATCCACCTAGCGTACACCTTAGCAGGGAGACAGCCACCACCCTGTGTCAGGGCCCACTCCACAAGGGCTAAAGGCAACTACTGCTGTTTTCCTTCATGGTATACCCACAGAACACATCTGCAAGACCGCCACATGCATGTCCACACACACCTTCACGCAGCATTATGATGCAGACACAAGATTTGGCCACATAATACTCTGTCACAGACTTTCACCTGCCAAAGCTCCTTCCTACATCTACAGCTACTGCTTTGTAATCACCTGAAGGTGGCATACCAATGGGTATACGCCTCGAAGGGACGATTACTCACCAGGTGCAGTAACTGAAGTTCTTGGAGATGGTTGTCCCCGTAGGTGCTCCATCATCCACCCTCCCTCCCCTCTGCTTCAGACTCCAGCACGTCTGGCTCAGAGAAGGAACCGAGGAGGTAGCCTGCTGCGCGTGTTCAGTAGCTGCTCCAGATTGCACACACCACACACGCAGCTGGCCACAGGGCACTAGTATCACAAATCTTTGATCAAGAGCGCAGTGGCACTGATGAACCTGAAGGTGAAGAACTCTAGTTACTGCACCTGGTGAGTAACCTTCCCAAATGCCTGTTTATCATAGTTGTCTTAGAGCTCCAAATTAAAATGTTATTGCAAAAAATATGAAAAGATTTCTCAGTTCAGAAGACTTTTATAGATACTTACAGTGAATGGGGGGAGAGAATGTTGCAAATGAGGATTAGTAATGAAGAGCATACAAATCTTTCCTTGAACCTATTGGAAAATCTGATAGGTACAAAATTACATATGAAAACTAATTTAAATATGCAGTTGAATATGTTGTCTCTTACTTCATGTTAAATATGTACTTAAACTGCTTATTATAAAAATTGCCATCACAACTACATGCTTCTAAGAGAAAGGTAACAGCGTGGAGTGGCATCAGTCTCTGTCTAGGCGGGTCTGAGCTCCCGGACCTGGCGCAAGCCAAAACTGAGCTGGACTGCCTTCCTGCCCGGCTCTTAATATACTTGAAATATCGAGCTGAAATGGGGGTAGGTCGTGGACCCAGCATGAGCCAGAACTAAGCCAGGCTGCCTGCCTGCCTCCTAATACACTTTAAATGCAGAGCCGCAAAAGGGGTAGGTCCTGGACTTGTCGCAAGCCAGGACTGAGCCAGGCTGCTGGCCAGCCTGCTAAACAATTTACTGGCAGAGTGAGGGGGAAAGGGATATGCATGTAGTCTTATAGCATTAGCCTTATAAGCTTTTGCTTATTGGTTAACTATACTATTATGTGTCTCATCTATATCATATTATTTTTCTCTTAGAGCAGTACATTCTAAGTTGTGACTGATTTTCATAAAAATGGTTCCATGTGCAAACCCAAATTAATTAGTGGTCAAAGTAGCACTTGTTAATCCCTACCATCATTTGACAGGGAAATAGTTTGTAATAAACTATTGAGAATCTAACACACGTCACATTTCTAGGTCTGCGCCAGGACTGTGCCTCAAGTTCTGCTTCAGTGTCTCGTCGCAGTTCCAGTGCTTCTCTTCACTCTCTCAGGAGAGGCACCTATAGTGACCAGGAGTTTGATACATACAGTCTGGAGGATGAGGATGATTATGATTGTTCACTATCCTATCATAGTGCTCACAGGTACTCGCCATCTCCTCTCAGCTCTCCCCGTTGCCAGTCCCCTTCTTCAGGTACAGATTATGGCAGGACAACCTCTCGAATTCGACCCCCAAGGAGAGCTGTGCAAAGTCCAATGCAAGACCAGCTAAAATTCACAAATAATGAAGGTATGCTGGCTATAAACTTTATTAATATTATGTATTAAAATAGCTTAGAATTTATTTAGGGAAAGGGTAGCTGTTTCATGGAAACTATTTCTGTAGTCAGTTACATTGCTTGTTTTCTCTGTTATCTTGAATTAAAATGATTGTGTACAGTTTTCTAGGAATAGACTAAATAGTGATGGCAAGTTGATTATTGTACAGTCTACATTCTATTTGAAATTCATATTTCAGAGGAAATGCGCCACAGTATGCCTAATCTGGCTAGGACGAGCCTTCGTTCTCTTGAATCAGTAAGAAGCAGTCGGAGTCTGGAATCGGATCTGCAGGTGCCCAGCAGCCGTCTTTCCAGAATTCAGCAACCATCGACAAGTCAGTTTACTTTATCATTTTACAACTGAAATGACAAAATGATGATATTTTGTTCTTTGTTAAATTTAATTTCCCTGACAGTAGCTGAGGCTTTTAAAAGGCCCAGCATCCTAAAATATTCTTGGTGCTCTATTACTAACTAATTTTTTTCTCTCTCCTCCTGCTTGATTCCCCCCTTCTCCCCCCCCTCCCATTTCACATTTAGGTTTGACTCCCAATAAGCTCAGGTTTTCCTCTAGTGCTGGGCAGTCCTCCTTAACAGTTAGACAGCCAGTGAAAGCAGGGTCATGCACAAGTTCTCTTTTAACACTGAGGCAGCCACTAAAAGCCTCCACTTACAGCACTCCTGCAAGTGGAATCCGAAAGCTACCATCTTCATCTCTCAGTCCAGGATCTTTTAGTAGCAGTTCATCCACTACCAGAAGCAATAGTATCGCCTCTGGAACCAAAAATTCATCTGTTAAAGTACGAACATCTGTTGGAGGAATCTCTACTCCGAAGAGCAAGCTGATACAGCCATCCAAAAGGTAACACATTGAAATGAGCATAAACAATTTAAATGTACCTTTAATTGATTTTGCCAACACTGCTGATGTCATGGTGCTTAAAGTGTTTCAGACTCTAAAATGGTGCTCACCTCAGTTGCATTTTAACAGTACTTATTAAACTCCTCATTTGGGTCAAAATGACTTTAAAAAACAGAAAACATAGCTTGACTTCCAAGTCCCAGACTGAGCTTAGAAAAACTCCCATTTGTAAATTGAAAACAAAATTATCTGAGTGAGAAACACTAATTACAGCTTCTCCTTGAAGCCATTTTAATTTAATTACAGCTGGAATATGTAAGTTGGTCATTAAATACTTATGTCTTGGAGGAAAAAACCCTATATATTTATTGATGAATATAGTGCCTTCGATACTCATCATAGTGCTTTACAGAATTAAGTTCTAATACTTTGAGTGCTTTAAGTAAAAGGCACTACAAAATTGCAAAACACTTAACTGCGAGCAGTAGGGAAAACAGACCCGGTGAGATTAAGTGATTTTTTCCAGGGTCACAAACTCCTTTGAGATAGGAATTGCTTCAAATATCACAAAATACAGTTCTCTGGCAAGGAGAGATTGGTTCAGTAGTTAAGGGACAAGCCTGGCAGTTGAGAAACATTGACTCAATTCCCTGTTCTGTCACAGGTTTCCTGTATAACCTCTCATAAGTCATTAAGTTTGTCACAGTTCACCGTCTTTTAAAATTAGAATGTCTATTTTCTGATTTCCCTGAATGCTTTAACTCACAGGTACATTGTGGGGTGAAAATGGGGGCTCTCAAAGTACCTCAGATAGCTGATGCCAGGTAAGAAGCAAAGGAATATGGTAATTTGAATAAAGGTAATAGCTAGCTTTTGAGTAGGCATATGTACCTGTGCAGGGAAATAAGAATCCCCTCATAGGCTACATCTAGACTGTAGGACTTTTCTAGGATACCGGAGGTATCCCGGAAAAGCAATGCCATGTCCAAGGAATGCGTCCGCTCTTCTGAAAATTTTTTGAAAAAGTGGATGCGCTCTTTTGCCATCCCTGTAAACCTCGTTTTACAAGGAAGAAGAGCTGCATCGAAAGAGCAGGTTTTTCCAAAATTTGGCGCCGTGTAGCTGCACCAAATTTGGAGAGAGCTTCTTTTGACAGAAAAGCAGAAAAAGATACGCAAATTGCGGTTTGCAATTTGCATATCTTTTTCCGACTTACCTGTGTAGTCTAGACATAGCCATACATTTGCAGGTTGGAAAGAAAAGAGTGAAGACCTTGCCTCTGCTCTCATCTTACTGGCCAGCACAGCTGGGCCAGCATGGTGAACCATAATTTTGTTTGTGGCATAGACTATCATATCTATACCCAGCTCCTCCCATGCCTCTAGCAAGGGGGATGCTGAGAGGGAGTTGTCAGAAGTAGTATCGTCCAACACTGCTACTGGAGTAGGACTGCTTATGTGCCACCTATTAATCAGGGCCATGCCAAAAGGCAAAATCTAGTCACACAGTAATAAAAGAATTCAGATAGGTGAACAAATTTCATTTTTAAAGTTGTTCCAAGACACTGGTGTTAACACTACTTCTCTATCAAAAAATGCATTGAGATCTCTAATGATCCTGACCATCTACAGGTCTTGTGTGATTCCTCAAGAACTACACCAGCAGCACAGTTTCCAAGAATCTTTCTGGGAGATTGCTTCATTTGTGAGTTAGAAGAATACTTCAAGTGCTTGTTCATGTGGGTTCCAGCTTAGGTGTGCACGCACGGACATCAAAAACTTTTTTTTTCCCCTAGCAACATCCATCAGGTCAGCCAGGGAGTCCCCTCGAGTGGTGCTGGTATGCCATCCTATAAATGACCTGGCTAACCTGCCTCTCCCTCAGTTCCTTCTTATCATCCATGGCAGTATTGAAACACTGTTCACTTGCTATGTAAGTGTGCCGTAGCCAGCTTACTCTTGTTTGTTGCTTGTTCTACTGTTTTCTTCGTTGTTAGTAGTTATGTTAAATTTAGTTATTAGGGTGTTAGTTTTACTATTGCCCACGTTGGGCTAAGGATGTTAAATATTGACTGACTAATTGAATAGTTGATGCATTTTGTATCGACCTATTCAATTAGTCAATAGGATGCCTTCACCTTTGAAGTGTAGCAACAGCCCAAGGGTTTAGGCTTGCGATTCGTACTGTAAGCTATGTCTAACAGTGACCTTCATGACTTCTGTTTCCACTGTTTGGGAGAAGCTTATCAGGCTGATGATTACAAAATTTACAAATCATTCAAGCCAAGAACAAAAAAAAAAAGAGAGACATTTTGACTTGAGGCAATTAATAGAGGCAGCGCTCAAACCAGCAGCATCTGATAGTCTGGGCCTGAGCTCTTCAGTGTGTAGAACTGTGGCATCAATGCATGTAGCCCTTCAGGGCTTAAGAAGGGGCTTTTTCCCCTCTGAGTCAGTGGGAAGCCACTCCACCTCAGTCCAGTGAATCCCTGTAATCCTTGCTCTTGGGCCTGTGGTCAGACCAAGTTGAAAGTCAAAGCTCAGGGCAGGTAACATTAATCTTGGGATTTGGGCCAATTCTCAGGCTGCGCCAATAATGCTCTATAGGGTATGGCCCAGGATCAGGGCTAGGCAAGAAACAAATAGTAGTCTATAAGTTCAAGCCATGGTTCAGGGTGGGGTGACAAACAGGTAACAGTCTTTAGGCCCAGGTGTAGAGCACACATTGAGGCAATTTAGGGGCTCAGGCCTATGCCCAGACTAAGCAGCAGTTTGTACGCCCAGGCCCTGGTTCAGGGTGGGGCTGTCAGCACACATGGAAAGTTCAGATTGAGGCAAACAAACAGTTGGGTCTCCTTATTCTGTCAGAGATCCAACGAGCACAGGCAATTGGCCCGGAACAGCAGAGAGGGGAGACTGCCAATCGTAGATTGGGTGGTAGGGGGCACGCAGGCCCACCCACTCCACTGTGTCCCAGCCCAGGGCCCTTACAGCAGTAGATCAGTCTGCTGCTGGTTCAGCGGGGATCCTGACCGCAACATGCTGATTCACAGGCTCTGGTGCAGCCAGACTAAGGTCAGCTATCCCTGGGCTCCTTCATTCTCCCCTTCTGCGCATACATGGCTCCACATGGACATTGGAGAGGTCTTCTGGGATACTGGGGGCTGGACCACCTGGCAGGATTTGTAGTTACTCCAGGTCAAAGTCCATCTGGGTTCCTAGTGGCCCAAGCCAGTCCTCAGCCTCCTGTAGGTTCTTAGCAGCCTCCCAGCTTGGGGAGCACGGGACAGGCATCTGGTTCCTCTGGTAGGAAGGGCCGGACTGAGCTCCTGGGCTGGCCTTTTATACTGCTAAACCCACCCCCTGACTTCAGGTTAGGTGATTGGGTGGGGCCAGACTGCCCAGTGGGGCTCAAGGAGGGACTCTTCCCTCTCTGGGTCAGTGGGCAGCCACTCTGCCGCACCACAATGTGTGACACAGTCCAGGTAAAAGATTCCATCAAAGAACCCCAGCATTGTAATTCCCTGGCATTATAGCAAGAAACTCAGTCATGGCACCATACAACCTCCCCAGCACCCAAGAAGCACAAGAGGCATTCCCCTCTTAGGGACACTAAGTCGATTTCCAGTCATAGACCCTTGAAATAGAAGGAAGTGGTACCACTGACTCCGTTAACCCAGGCACCATTGAGTTAAGCACAAAGTGGTGGACCTGCTTGAGCCTTCAATGCTCAATACCATTGAGGCTGCCAGAGACCTCACTGAGCTCACAGAACCTCAGTTTTAGTTGGGACACCAAAATCTCCAGCATAGCCAATACAATTCACTTCATGAAGAAAGCCTGCAATAATGAGGAAGATGCTCTTCTTCCCGGGATTGGCACCAGGTGCCACACAAATCTGTCTCGCTGGAGGCCCTGTTAGGGATGTCCATGAGTAGTGGACCATGAGTAGGCTTATTGGTTAATCTTATCAACTGCTTGCAACCTGTTTCTTCCCTCCCCTCCCCTTCCCCCAGCTGCCTCTGTATGAGAGGCAGCAAGTGTGAGGGGGAAGCAGGAGCCGTTGCTGAGGGACCCGGCTTAAAAGCTGGTTCCCCCCCAGCTCCAGCTACATGGTGCTGCATCCCCCACCCCATGAGGAGACTGAGGGGGGATATGATAGAGGTCTATAAAATCATGAGTGGTGTGGAGAGGGCTGACAAAGAAAAGTTATTTATTAGTTCCCATAATAGAAGAACTAGAGGACACCAAATGAAATTAATGGGTAGCAGGTTTAAAACTAATAAAAGGAAGTTCTTCTTCACACACTGTGTTGTCAACCTGTGGAACTCCTTGCCAGAGGAGGCGGTGAAGGCTAGGACTATAATAGAGTTTAAAGAGATGCTGGATAAATTCATGGAGGTTAGGTCCATAAAAGGCTATTAGCCAGGGGATAAAATGGTGTCCTTGGCCTCTGTTTGTCAGAGGCTGGGGAGGGATGGCAGGAGACAAATCGCTTGATCATTGTCTTTGGTCCACCCTCTCTGGGGCACCTGGTGCTGGCCACTGTCGGTAGACAGGGTACTGGGCTAGATGGACCTTTGGTCTGACCCAGTACGGCCGTTCTTATGTTCTTATGTTATGTTATGTTCTTATGTGCTGCTGCCTCTATCAGAGGTCACTCCAGCACTGGCTCCTGCTTCTCCCCCTCCTGCATACTTGTTGCCTCTAATAAGGAGGCAGCAAAGGGG